AGTTAAACATGCAATTTTGGAAGCACTATCAGAGTCAGTGACAGATGGTTACACAAAACTCAAGTTTCAAGTATTAAATAATAGCATTTTTCTGTAGTCATTAAATTATAGAAAAGAAAAGGGCAGCCCAAAACTTCTATACTTTGCTGGAAATAAATTCAAGCCTGGAAACACCAAATTCTCCCTTCTCTGCTCATTACTTAAAGGAGTAAGTTTATACCAAAACAGCAAAGAAGAAGAAAAAAAAAATCTTGCTGAATATTCAAAACTTGTTTCTGAACAGACAGTGCACCATTTTTGGTCAGCTCTGCCTTCCATGCATATTTGCCACTGCCAAGAGAATATCTGAAGAAGCACTGTGTCTTCCACACTTTGGATGACAGTTTAACGTAAATCCCTAAAAGAGGGACCTAATGACAGATTTTCAAAGTGGCTGGACTTGACCTGGATTTTATTTGGATCTACGTGTTAAGCTCTCCCCTCACAAATAAAATCTCTGCTTTTCTGTGGCTTCAACATGCAACACAACAACATATGAAATTTTACCTTGCAACTTTAGAGAAAACAGCACTCTTACACTGCTTTTTAGCAAGACAAAAAAGTAAACATGAGAATTGCAAACTTCAAAGAGGCATCTGCAAGCCTCATGTCTGTCACTGCTGAGAAGCAGAAACCCTGGGCCAGCAGAACTCCCAGCCCATAATCTTCTAAAAGGTGGTAACTTGCCCTAAAGGAAATCACTTGCCATAGGGACAGACATACAGTGACAGAGTAAGTGAATCACCATTCTCTTGTCTGCACCTTTGCAAAGCCAAAGATTCCACCAGGACTCACCAGCTCTGCATCGTTTGCCTCATATATGCCATTACTGACATCACTTGTGTGAAGAATAATTTAAGTCTGTCTGCTAAATAAACCAGGGCAGTGATTTTTGATCTCCTGTTTTTCATGATTTGCACACCTACACATTTTCTACTGCATCTCTGCATAGCAAAATCAATACTCTTCATCACAGCTATGCTGCTTCTTTTTTTTTTTCAGACACCTGCATGGTCCTTGGTTTGATAAAGACTGCTATATTCCCATCGCCAGTGTGGGAAAATTTTGAAGCAGAAGACTACTCAAATAGGACATCCTAAGAGGGTAAACTGTCCTCTCAAGCTCCTGTTATCTTCCCCTGCTTCAGATGCACTGAAATCTCTCAAGGACCTATACTTGAAAGTTTCTAAAAGTAATTTTTTCTGTGGTCCCACTTCATGCTGGCAGAACAGTATGTCTTAATGGCTAGATTTTATTTAACTGCATATTCTATACTGATGCTTTGTGTATGTTTCTTTTATGTGCTGTGGAAGTGAGGCCATTTGAGGTAGTTCAGTTCTCTCCTACTGTGCAAACTGGGGGTTTTTTGCCTGAGACCTGAATGTTTCATCAAATATGCAGTCTTTGTTGTTATGCTGGTGAGGTGGCTGATGTCAGCAAAGAGAGCAGTAGGGGATTTGTTTGTGCGACAAAGTTGCTCCTCTTATGGAAAACACTCCAGCTGTTTTCACTGGCATTATCCTTCCCTCTACAAGCATTTTAAAGGCACAGTTCAAACTGTGCCAGTTGTGAAAAGAGGAGAGTAAAAAAACACCCCTGCAATTTCAGGGAACTTTGCTGTTACATAAAGTGTTTGGCAGCTGCAAGGACAGCCAGAGGTGTTCTGTGGCCCATGATCTGGGGCTACCACACGCTTGTGCACATGCTTTGCACAGCACAGCAGCTCAAACTGGTCTTGGTTAATTTCCTAACTGGTTGTCAGTAGCAGCTCTGTTACATTCAAGAGTGTGCTCTCCTGTAATATGGAAGCACAAAAGGCTCTAACTAGCATTTCAGCTTTCACCCAAAGCCAAACCCCAGATCATCACTTACAGTCCGAGGGGGGAGGCATGCTAGGAGATACATTAGCTGTAAGGGCTGTAGAAGGCTAGGTGACAGCAACAGAGAGAACGGGGCTTTCAGGGTTAGAGCCTCCAACACAAAGATGTGGCAGCTGACAGTCATGGTGCAAACAGGTGACTTGGGCAAAAGCAGAAAGCAGAAAAGGCAGGGAAGTCTGGAGGCTAAATCTTCCTGTGCCTTTTTTCCCTTCGAGGATGACCTGCTACCCCTTCCTCTGCCTGTGTGAGGGGAATAGCTCTGCCATCCAAATAACAGCCACAAATGCAGAGGGAGCTGGGTGGAAACCCATCTGTGAGAGGGTGCAGAACCTCATACATCTGAAGACATGGCCAGTGCTTTGAAATAACCCACTGGAGCATGTGTAACTAACCAGTGGGGAAGCAGGGATCCTTCACTTCATGCTCTGGACACGTCTGGTTGCTGTGTGCTTTTCCATCAAACCATTATGCCAAGATAGCTGGGCAGCTTAGGCAGGTAATTTACTCCTTTGGCACAGGTCTTCCTCGTGCCTTTGCTTCCATCCTCACCCATACATACAGTGAAGTGATGGTCCTGTTCCTGCTGCAACAATCTGTGGTTGTCCTGGCCACTAATTCAGTGTAAAATAGGGAATAATAAATATTTATTCCCATAAATCCTAGTTATCAAGCTGAATCCCATGAGTCCTATGGCAGCCTTTTGCAATTGTACCACTTGGGTTGTCAGTTGTGGCTGTTTGATAACGCTGTCTTTTGAGCTCTGAAGAGTTAATAGGGGCAGTTGCTTCCAACTTGCATTCCTAATTTGCTTCATCAGGTCCTTTCGATACTCCCTCCTCAGCCTGGGAGGAGTTTATTTTTCTGGGGAGTTGTCATTTGCAGGGAGGATACACCACTCAGTCACCAAGCCAGGCACCACTCTTCAAAATCACTTGAAAGCTTCAACATACTCCACAGGAAGAGAGGACAGGCCTGCCTTCCCCCAGTAGTCAATGGCACGCACTCTGTAGAAACCGGAGACTGAGCTTCCTGCAAATGAAAAGGTTAGAAATGGTCACTGTGGAAAGCTGATACCTGTGGTGCTTGGAGGATGTGGAGCAGGCACTACTCCTATGAAACGTATGTTTGTGGAGTGGGCTGGGGAAGTAGTGAAATCAGTTCTGCACCCTATGTAAGTGTGTCAGTGCCTGTCTAACTAAAAATTATTATAAATTCCTCATGGCCAAGTACTGGCTCTTTCTTTGTTGTACCAAGGACCTCCTCTCTCCTCATTAGGATTTGCAAGTACAGCTGCAGGACTGCTGTCCCAGCAGTCCCTTTGGAAGAAGGCTATGACATCTTCTGCAACCCACAACTAGTAATTCCCTTTTTTCTGATTTACTTTTCTGCCTGAATTGTGCCTTTGGAACAGGTTATGTGGGGACAGGATCGACATAGAAGCAGAACAAGAAGAATGCAGGCTGACTGAAAACCCTCTTCTCAACTCAGGAAGCAGCACCACTCGTTCCAAAGGTATGTGAGTTCCATGTTCTCTGGCTCTGGCGGTTTTCATCCTTGACCCAGTTCAAACAACACAGCCTTCACTAGCAGTGTCTTTAACCTCACAAGCAATATAAATGTTTTTTCTCACCTATTTACTTGATTTTAATGTGTGTTTCAGTATTTAATTTTTTTTTCTTAAAAGAAAAAGAATGCTAGAAATAATGAATGAGAAGGAAGTACCTAGCAATAAAGGCTGCTGAGATGTGAGATTTTTTCAGTCTTTTTTTTTTTGTTGTTTTTGAAATGAACAATTAAATCTGGTAGGTTCCCCAGATGTGCAGCACTAGATGCTAATGAATCCTAATTTCAGAGATTTGCCTTGTCCATGATTTACAGTCTTTGCTCACCTGTGTAGCCTTTACATTGCAGTAATAGCTCTGAACATTATTATGCACCCGCTGCTGATGCTAAGCCTTTCTCAGGCTAAAATGAGCTTGTGTTTCTGGCAAAAACCCCTCTGAATTGCTCTTTATTGGTGTCACTTTGAGGCAAGGTCTATCTGTGTTTCATACCTCTGATCAGTGCTTATTAGTATCAGTGCTTACTAGTAATACTTTTTGGACAGTCACATTGTGGATTAGACCACATTTGATTAAAAAAGCCCCCAAAATGACAAAAAAATATACCCAAAGAAATCCTCACTACCTTCTTTCAGCATTTTTCATCTGCCCATGTTTCTGTTGCATCTAGGCTGTACTTGAGGAGAAATGACCACAGGCTCTGGGAGAAGCTTTGCCTGTTGACAAAGATGAAACTCGCTGCTCTCTAAAGTAAAACATCTAAAACTTAGGCAGCTATTCAGGGCTAAAGAGAACGTTCTAGGAAACGGCAAAGAGAGGGGTGTCTCCTTTGCTAGTTGTTCAGATAGCCAGGAAAAACTGTTCCATGGGAGGGCCTCTTCTGTTCTTACAAGGGAGCACCTCAATAGCTTATGGCTGCCAAGCCATAAAAGGGTATGGGATAGGGACAGGTGACCACGACGAGAGCAGTATTGTAACCTTCCCCTGGCGGAGCTCAGAACATGATAAATGTGAGATAACCAACCCCTCCATGAAAGGTGGACATGACCTCCCACTTATTTGTGTGCTGATGCCATATCCTCTGGAAGGCTAGCACCTCAAGACGCATTGGTTCAAAAGAAGTGTTACCAAGGCAGTTTGCTTCTACTGCCCTACCCCAAAAGCATTGTACAAATTTAGGCAAAGGCTTGGCGAGTATCTGTGGGACTGAGCCCACATCTCAGACTTGCCTTGCTGTGAGTCTACTACCAAGAGCACAACACCAAGCTCTGGTCATGTGGAGCAATTTTTTTTGTTCTCATTTTTGCATGCTCCTACACCAGCTGCAAATAGACACAAAAGTGTTGCTTTGCCTCTCAGGAAGCTTGCCAGGCCTGCAGTTGGGTGACTGTGGTTGGCAGTATTCCTAATAATGTCCTCATGATTATTTGTCAGTTAGTGCTTGTCCTTGAGAATAAGGCTTTCACTGAGAATGTGGTTCTAAAGGAAGGGACGTGCTCTTATTTGTGATGGGAGTGCATGTCACTAGCAAGCTACATACCTTCAGTTACTAAATGCTATTTCACACACTCATGAGTGGCACTATTAACATGACAGGTTACATAATATGCATATTACTGTCTTACCTGGACTGTAGACCCAGAGAGTGAATATTGTGTCTTTGGCATTAATCCGCTGGTACGTTTCTCCATCTGGTGAGAACTCCACTTCAAATGTCTTTATACATCTAGAAAAGAAAACCAGACAGGTCAGTAAATACAACTGATAATGTGGTGAGCAATCAAATCCTTATCTTAGGGACATTTCAGTAAAGAAGGCCAAAAATAGGAAATACTCAGTTGACTCATTCTGACCAAATGTGAGATGGCATGAATTGTCAGTATTAGGAAGAAGCACAGCTCCAACAGCTCACAGAAGAACTTGCTATATTGGGTACTTTCAGCATCACAAACTGTTAAGCATCTTTTACTTCCAAACCAGGACTATCAAGGCTGAAGAGAGCTGGGAGGCTAGCTTGAAAAGGAGCTAAGTCAGTGCTTCCTGAGGGAGTCTGGATGTACACTGGATCGTCTCTGACAGTTCACCTACAGGAGTTTCCAGTCTAGTACAGCTTGCTGGAGCAAGGAACTAGAGGTTTTCTTTTCCAGCTCGCATCCCTTATAGGGATGTGCAAGATCCCACCTAGGCACCTGCTGCTAATGTAACTTTTCTCGTGGATCTCCCTGTTTTCTATGCTGAGGGCAAGTCCCTCAAAAATGCCATTGGATGCTGATGAGCAACAGGCAGATTCCCTTGCTCAGACTGCAAATGAGTCAGGGTTGCTCTCCATAGTTACTGCATGTAGGTCCTACAGTTCATTTTGTCAGACAAATGCACTGTAGCACCTCTCAAGGAGCAAGCAGTCATTAATCTGTGAACTCATTTCACTTTGTAGGACTGTTGGCAACTTAGGGAGTAACATGCTGGCAACTCAGTTATATCCATTTTATTTTAAAAGCTACTTACTTTGAATTTACGCAGCTATCATCCCACAACACAATGACCTGCCCCTTTGTGAGAGGGATCAAACGAACACCGGTCACCTGTCCAAAGACACATGCCCATGTAAGAAAACTGTATAAAGCAATCATCCGGGTCAGATTTCTGTGTTCTTCCTTACTAACTATTTGCTTTGATTCTTTCCTCTGAAACCAGGGGAAAAAACAAAATTGCTGGCTCTGTGGTTTTGTAGCCTACAACTCCAACCTGTCAACCTTGCAGAGGACCTTCAAAGGCTCTGATCAACACTATGAACATGGGTGGGACTGAATGAGCAAATACAGATGTCTAATCTACAACAGCCATGATTCCATTTTATTTTTAGCTATCAATTATTAACCGGAGAGTGGTTGTCAAGCCTGGCAGCACATGATGTGATTTAAAAAAAGATACTGCACTTTCCAGTACTGCATTATTATTTTCCCACCATGGATAAACTTGCATTTATCTCAGTGATGGCTCCTATCACTTGCTGTGGAATGCTTTATCTTGAATTATGCCTTGAAGAGCCTTCTCATCAAAGGAGAGAAGAATTGTTTATTTTACTAAATCTTCCATGGTACTTTCAACAAACAATAGGTCCAAATGCTAGTCCAGCTCTTTTTAGTGAGACTTACAGCATGAAGCAGTTTCTAATTTGGTGAGTGTAACAGCAGAATACAACACATACTTGATCAGGAACAGATCTGGGTCTTGCACAGATGTGGATAAGAAAGACTGAAGGAATGGGGAAGTCTTGCTTCAGTGTCAGGATGCCACCTTCAGGAAATGGGAATGGGCCTGTTGCCACTGGGTCCTGTGGAGCCAAAAAGAAGTGTTGCAGATAATCTTTCATTACAGCACCTGAAGGCCAATTGTTACATTAGTGTACAGTGACTGTGTATTTACTTTGGGACTGTAAATTTCTAATAGAGTTGGTGCTGGTAAGTGGCTTACAGTCATCAAAGTTCTTCAAGCTGGGAGACTCTTCTCTCTTGCCTGTTTTCCAGCTCTTCAGGAAACAGAGGTTTTGTCCATCTTACAAATGGAGTTGACCACAAATACCATTTAGGTGCAATCTGTCACTTCTAACAACCTCCCATGGATGCCTTTCAGGCTAGTGGTCTTTACAAACCACAGCTGTCTCTTAGCTATGGATTCCCAGCATGCAGTGAAAGCTATTGCTAGCTACATCATATCTGAGGATGAGGTTTCACCAGATGGCCAAGAGTATCTAAAACCTTACTGCTGCCCTGTTGAGGGAAGATCTGATGGCTCTTGTAGTATCCCACAGACCTTAGGAATAGTGAGTTACGGTGACTGGGAAAAGAAGACATAGTACATACACCAAAGTCAGAAAGCAATTACTGTCTATAGGCCCCCAAGGGGATAAGGTGGGCTCCTTTAACCCATGGATCTCAATGCATAGGGAAACTATGGGAGGGGAGCTAAAGCGACAGGCTGCTCACATGTTCTCACATACAGTAAGTAATCTGGGCATGCCTTTTCTCAGTAGGGAGGAGTCCTCAGCAAGGACTTACTCCTCAGTCCCCTCTGGGGTGCATGCAGAACTGGTGAGGATGAGGGAAAACTGCAGACCTCCCTGCGAGCCCCTGAGGGAAGCCAAGCATCTTCTAAACTTGCACTGGATAGTTTCCACCTCAGAGAGCTGTTTTGTTTTCTGTTTTTGAGAGGCTTTCATTTCAACTCTCTAATGCAGCAATTTGGCCTGTGACTTATTTGGGGAGACAGAACAGAAAGGGTCTCAAAGCTCACTGAAGTTTCAGAAAGAAGGTGGAACTCGCTCTGGAGCAACTCTGCCTCCTTAGTTAGGGTAGGCCAGTAACAAAGAAGTTGGTGATCTACATTTAGACTCTTGTAGAACATAAATGCAAAGGTATCAGCTACATTTCTCTGCGTGACTGCAAGTGCATTTTCATATGTATATAAGATACGCATGACTCTGTGCTAAGGAAATTTTGACTAGCTGAGCTGAGTTCTTGTCTCAGCTGTGCTTAACCAATTGACAAGCAGTTTACCCATACAACACTTCAAGCAAACACATGGCCATACCTCAGCATCCCTTATCTGCTGGAACTGTTCTGCAGAAGGAAAGTCAGGGCTTCCTAGCTTTTTCCACTTCAGGAAGGGATTGGTTTGGTTGTTATCCAGGTAATACATCATATACACCAGCTCTTTAGGAACATAAATGAGAGAGAGTAAACTCTTTACTTGGATTTAAAGATTAACAAAAATAAATTCAGCAGAATGTGTTTAAGTCTACCTTCTCAAAAGTGATTTCAGCAATTTGGAGCCTGGCTTTCACTGGAAAATCACGAGGCTAGCACTCCTGCAAGGCTCTACAATTTATATTTGCCAAGTTTAAATTTCATGCTATTACTTCCATAATCAGAATTGAAGCTGTCTTATTTTTTGCACACATTTATTGGACAACCGCGTCAACTGTGTAATCATGTGGTCATGTTGGCTGTCTTGGAGTCATCCCAGTAAGGGTATTGCTGCCTGGCAATATCCAGCCAAGGACACTGAGATTAATAGCCTTCCAAAAAGGTAGCACTTGCAGCTGCCATTAAAGGCAGGGTCAAAGTGCAGGCATTAGGAAAGACCCTTTCCTATAAGAGGCACCATCATACCTCAGAAAATCTGGGAGCACCCAAAAGATGAGAGAGGAAGTTAGCAATTGAAACTCACTCTTGCAACAAAAGGTAACTCAGCAGAAGTGTTTCAGCAGATGTTCTATCCTAAAGATCAATTATGTGAGCGGGCTACGTGATGTTTGTTTACCTCTAAGTTTGGGGAAGTGCGTGGCATTCACTGTGACAGTGCTGATGTTGGATGAAGTCCTGTTATCCTCACTTGAATACATCAGTAGAGTAGCTTGCCAACTGTCTGAAGGTTGCATCTCGTTCGGGGTGTGCACAGATGCCAGGACACCAATTGTGCTATTTTGAGGGCTTTCGCCTTCACTGCTGTTCACTTCTGCAAAAATCTGCTTTTCTCCTTTAAAAAACGTGACAACTCTGTAAGCATCACTGCTAGTCAGTCCTGTATCGGCTTCTGATACAGGAAGGGTCAAAACATGGGATCTATAGGTTGAGCTATGTTCTAGCTTATTTTACCAGGTATAGCATTCAGTCAGGCTTATTTTACAACAGCAGAGCATGCACATACTACAGCAGATTTTATGCTTAGCAGTTCAGCTAGCAACATCTAAGTATGTAACAGTGAATTAGGATCTTCCTTTAGTATGCCACATGGGTCTTCCAGCTGTGGGTATTTCTTAAACACATTTGCAGCCTGATGTGATGGCATAAGAGGGAAGTACCAGTCAACAAAAAAGAAGTGGTTGGCATACAGAGGGTATAAACAAACCAGTAAATTAGATCAAATGGATCACAGACTATCAGAACATCTGAGCTATTAATTTCTCAGAGGAAATGAAGTTTAATTTTCTTAACACAGCTGGAAAACAGAGGGTAGGAGAAATCCTGCTTTTATCAGTGGTGAGATTGCTGGAATAATCTCTTTTAGGCAGGATGCTTCTAGATTATAGATGTGCTCTTTATCAGTGGTAGCTAACCTAGCAATGCCAGCAAGCCCATGACAGTCAGCACTGGTTTCCGCACCATCTGGACATGAGGTGGCTTTGTATTGTTCATCTGAAAACGTGCTGTCAGCGTCCGCTGTGTGAAGTAATGGGGGTAGTAGCTCAAGAAGGCATTGTCATTACTCAGCAGTGTGTAGTTGATGGTGTTGTTGGCTTTGGAAATAAGCAGGTTTTGATGCTGGACGATTACCTGCAAAGTCATAGAAAAGACAGAACTTCACCCTGGAGAAAATCCAATAAACACATGCTGTGTGTATTTTTTTAAATCTTTACAGCGTAGTGAAAATAGCTGTCACTCTGCCATTTAGAAAAGTCTGAAGAACTAAAGTCTTCCCCACAAATCCTGGAGATACTATTCTTTAGGTGATATGTTAATCACTGGAAAATTTGAAGTATCCACATAGTTTTGCCAGTAAAAAATCTCTGAAATAACCATCACTAGTACTCTGCATAAATTATGAATATATTTCCTTGGCTACTGCACTACAAATGATGCTCCTCTGTCCTGAATGTCAAATTAGTAACCTGGATTTACCATCTGAATGAAATCTAAATGGTTCTCCAATTCTGGAGTTACTCTGTACCCAAAGTGTCTGCGAGTTGGTCCTGGATTCTGTCCCTCAGTGAGTCATTTTACCCTCTTAGTGCTAACATGGAATTAGTTCTCCTGGCATTTCACTGGTTGCTGTGCTGCTCTCCTGCAAAATGTCACAGCTCCCAAGCTCTCTGTTTACCAGATTGTGCCTAAGTATCAGAATCAAATAGAACTTCAGAGGGCCGATGACTGAAAAGGTCTCATAAGTGTGTCCCTGAAGGAACACGGGGCTCCAGCTCCTAACCACCCAAGCATTAATTTTCCATTGGATCTGTCTTTTTTCTCCTTTTCTATCACCATGTCATTATAAACACTGTTGTTTGCTCTCATAAACTCCATGCAATCCAGTCAGTGACTCGCTGCTTTGGAGAAGACTGCTTCTGTATGCAGCCTAAAGGAGCTGGGAGCCTTTGCCTCCACAGGAGCAGCTGATAAGATGTATCTTGTTTCCAGGTGACATACATGCTCCCAGGTTTGGGAATTACTGCTTTGCACAGGAGCACTTGGACTCTGGACGCTGTATATGGCCATGGCTCTCAAAGCAGCAGGACTGCAGTGGGAACTACTGCTACACAGGGGCAAGAGCTGAGCTTGCTCTGGGGCCAGGCTGCAATTCCTGCAGGGGACGAACACTGAGCATTCTCTTCTCCTTCTGCTTTTCTGATCAACAGGAGTAATTACTAGCAGTAATTAATAAGGCTGCCTGTATAGTCATTATCCAAAACCAAAGAATGGGCTTATGCTGAGAGCTCAAGGGACTTCTTAATTATACCTGATGTCCCTTGATGAGACAAACTTATAAAGGAGCTGGGAAATACTGTCTCAAGTAAGTGAGATGATAGCTAGCAGTAGTGAGATGATAGCAGTAGTATTACATGGAGAGAGGATGTGTGGGTATAGTCTTACCCCATGGATCTAACTGGGGGACTGTATACAATATCTGACACATTCTGCAACACACAGAAGGCTAGCTCTCAGTTGCTTTTTTTTTTTTAAAGGGAAGATGAAGAAAACTAATACAAGTTAAATAAAGCTACTAAAACCAGACTATTCAGGGAAACCCCAGCTGTATCAATAGGGAGCTCTCCTTTTGTTGGCTCTATTATTCTGAGTAGCTGATTAAAAATTCACTGTAAGTCTACTTTTGCAACTGTATTCACACATCAGGAGACCTTACTGTGACAAGACTGTCAATGAACTGAGTTACCTTTACAACCATAGCTGCATAGGTCACATCAGCTCGCCACAGTTGTGGAATGGACCATCCAACCATTGGATCTGCTTCATCATTGTATATGGCAACAGAAGCAAAATTTGGAAACAGCTTCTGAATTTGTTCAACTGTTTCTATTTCTTGTTGCAAGATGTAGAGAGAACTCCCACCTCCCTGCAACAATATTTTGTATCTGCTTAGTGAAAGCAAGCACGTAGTAGCAAACACACAGACATAACACACAGACATAAAGATATTTTGAAAACATGTTCCTGGAGTCCCTGAGGAGCTATGAACCACACAGTATTAGTATTTTTACCTAATCCATTACAGCATATGCTGTTTGCATGAGCTCTTCCTAGAATATAAAATGGAAAAGAGGTAGAGGAGTTGTTTCCCCTGGGGAATTCGGCAAGGGAAAATTTACTTTGAGTTGAAGTCTTACAACTGAATATCTTCAAAGTTTCATTAGAATAGGTAGCCATGCTTCCTGCTATAGGCTGGACACTCATCTGGAAATCAACTTCGTAAATCAGAATAAAATTTAACTTGGATTGAATTGATTAAAAAAATAGCCTTAAACTGAAATCTTGGACTGACCTTCTTATGGAGAGAGATGTAGTCCAGCCTTACACCAACCTCCCCTGTGAAGAAGTTGGTTCCATTGTAGCAATGACATAGAAGACTCCAGCATATGGGTGACTTGGGTAAGGGGTGGAAGGAATCCCCAGGCCCTCCAAATTTTAGTAGAGGACTGGCTGCTCTTAATCCTTCTGAGCAAGCATCATAATAGTTGAGAAACCCTGAAGTCCAAGCAGATGGATATATCAAAGATGATATAAGACTACAGGGAGATATTATAACTCTATTATTGCATTTATTGGCAGGACCTCACAAACTGGGGCTACTCCTTCCTATGCATTGACAACATGAGAAGACAAAAACTCAGCTGCATTCACAAGGTTCTTCTTGTGAGCACAGGTTCCCAAAGCATGCATCTGTCAATGAACAGTTTTCCTCTTACTCCACCCTTCACCCCCAGTAGCCTTACTTTATATCCAAATAACGAACTGCATCTTCTCAGTGTAACTCCTATTCTGTTTTCCCTGTTCTACTATCCCTGTATTTATTCTGATGTCCAAGCAGGGAACAAAGCGTAGTCAGTAACACGTCCTTAGCAAAACAGACTAGGTATACCTTTCACATTCCTTATCTCTCCTATCTACCTTACTTCCTTGCCAGCATCTCTCATTTCTGTCACCCCGCCACGCACCCCACACACCTAGCACTTACACTAGTAAGTGGTCTGAAACATGCTTACCTTTCACTGTCATAGACACATTGTCAAAGTCATGGTGGTCTGGTTCATTCCACGTTTCAAAATTCCATTTAGCAACATGCTCCAATCCATACCTATCTGTAGGAGAGGCCTCATTTATCAGTGGCTGCATGTTCAGACAATCCTGTCAATTAATCACTGATCCAGACAATCCTATCAATTAGGACTGCAGGTGAGATTCAGCACACAGAGCTACAACAGGGTATAAATAGTACCTATGATGAGGGAAATGTGACTTAAGTAGTTTCAAAATGATCTCTCATTTTCAATGAAATGCAGCAACATTTGAAAAAGACGAAAGATGAGAGGGAGGTGATGTGAATTACATTGTTGTGGTGAGGGCACTCACCTAGCCTTAATTCAGGTCGAGGTTTCTGTCTCAGCAGAGATACTTGAAGCTGGCATGTGGGAAGTGTTCAGATTACCATGTCCTAGTGCAAGCTGGTGATTTACAACCATGACAACATAACGAAGTTAAAAGTCAGTCGTCAGAGGCAGGCCGAATGCGCTACCCAGAACACACCATCATTCAGGATGTTGGTCATGGATCATCAAAAAGAGGGGCTATTATCCCACTGCCTGTTCTGGCATGGGTTTTTTTCCTGTCCTGTGCTGAAATCCAGGGTCTTGAAATTGTTCACAATACACAGAAATGTTTTGGGTAGTCAGAAGGGATTATAACAGAATAAATAACAGGGCTTTTTTCTTCTTTTTTTTTGGGGGGGGGGGGGGAGGTTGGTTGGAACTTACCTATGTATCTGCTGGCCAGAAGTGTAATTAAGTTTCTCCATCTTACTACCTGTTGTTTATCTTCAAAATCTAAAAAAAGTCCTGACGGATTCCCCATCAATTCAAATCCTAAAAAGACACAGAAGATTGGTCTCCTTTTTTTGTGAATGTTGTCTCTTTTTGATAAACAAAGGGGTTATTGCATTATCTGAAACAAACTTGATAACAAAGAAGCATCATTAAATGGGCTTTCTTTCCTGTTTTTACATGTCCCCACCAGGAATATTTCAGATCTGATGTTGCTCACACTTGTTACTTGTCAATGTCAATACTAATACTTACCATCATAAATTCAGGTCTCAGAGGGAACTTTAAAGAGTGGATGTTTGCAGAAATTCAAGGGAAGCTATACCTTGATTATCTGCTCCTCTGGCTCTTATAGGAGCATGCCTTCTCTTCAGGAGATCTCATTTCCCATTTCATACATCTCAAACTGTTCTTGAAAGCAATGTAAAACCATTTGTGTTGTCTTAATGGCCTTAATAGTGTTTTGCTCACACTGTTTACATTTACATGGACATGAGGTAAAGGCAAGTAGGAAAAGAATAAATTTTTATCAAAATCAGCTTTGGCAACGCTCTCTAAGTATTTTCTGATGATTGCACAATATGGGCAAACAGATGTAGCATGCTGTGGGGGTAGGAAGCTGCCCTTACCTGGAATTAGCTTATTTTCCCACAAGCGATCCATAAGGTTATCCAAGGCAGTAAAATTGTAGTGAAGTTTCCCATTCACCACTCTGAAGAATACAGGTAATAAAAAGTACAAACATAAATATTATAACAAAGGTGGCACTTGATTGCAGATAATGAGTCATATGGCTACCTTCTTCTGGCCCTCAAAATTTACATGTAACTAGGGTTCTTGGAATTGTACATAAACTTCCTCCCTCTAAAGTAACGGGTGTTCACCATAAGCAAGTCATGTTTCTTGTCCAATCCATGCCCCTTTCCTATTCCAGCAGCAGCAATAGAAGCAATATAATCAACTTGCTTGCTGGATTTTGAGTATTTAACAGGATACTAAGATTTCTAACTCTTTGCCAAAGTGAAATTTACCTAGACTTTTTTTGGCTAAGCTGTTTTGTCAGTTTGCATTTGATTACCTACCGCTAGGCCAGCTGGTTTCCAAGTTGTCTCATATGCAGTCTTTCTTAATGTTCTCTTAACTTGCAATATATAATACAGCTTTCTCAGTAGCACTTCTTATGGGTTCAGGTCCAGCTGAGAAATAACTTTGTATCTTTCAAAGAATGCTGCGTTTATGCACACAATGCCTGTAATTTTTACTTCATTGTTAGCATCTGCTCACTATTTCTCCTGCACTCCCAGGATCTGAGGCTGCAATCCTTTTACCCAGCTTTGAATACATGTATTCAAAGACTTAGGTCTGGCTCCATGATGCATCCCTTTGTGTCAGTGAATCTTGCAGGAGCACAAGTAGTAAAATTTGAGCATGTACCTGCATGGGAACACTGGAGTTCTTTTACCCAGGCAATGAAAACTGGCATTTGCAATTTATCTGTGATACATTTGAAGATATGTTTTAAATTCCCAGAAGGCTTTTCTTGCTTGGTATCCAGTGAAAATAAATATAACGTAATACGTGAGTCGGTGTATGATACCCCATAACTTCTGAACTTGTGGCCTGATTTAACTGAAATCTGAAAGGGCGGGAGAAGATTTGCCAGCATGAAGTGCTAAATAGAAATCAAAAATGAACTGTTGTCTGTTGACAATATGGTCGTGTGACTTACTGCCATTTGGCTCAAGCCACAGCCTTGGCTTAGTGCCCAAACTCTGACCTCAGTATGCCCTGAGCAAAAGGCTTTGTAAGCAGCCTTTAAGATAAGTCCAGCCCTAGTCATGTAGGAGGGCTGATCAGGGTCTTGCTAGCATCTCTCAAAGCTGATTTCTCTAGCCTTGCCAAAGCACTATACTTAATTTCTCTGGTACAGTGCAGCCTGAGCTCTGGCTTTGCTGTCTTGCTTACTCTTTCCTAGGCACCTTGCCCCTGCTTGGGTGGAGAGCTGTACAAGTGAACCGCCGATCCAATGTCCGAGGTATGATGGAAGGGGGACAGACAATCACTTATAGTTCCTGTAACTGATCAGTGCTAGCAAGGCATGCTGGGCACCCAGGATAAAAAGTGAGAATGGGGCAGTCGGCAGATATCTTAAATCAATGCTCAGCTCTGCGCTGAGATTCACAATTTGTTTTTTTCTGTGCCTTCCCATGCATTTCTGAGCCTCTTCCTCTGTGCTTTCTTGCCAAGGGAAGGTTTCAGTGAAGAACCTGTAACAGCAATCCCAAAGTTCTCAAAGAATTAAGAAGAGCTGACAGAATTGCCTAGTGAATAAAGAAGGGAACTGTGCAACCTGAAGAGGACAAAGTGCCATCAGCATCTCTGACTATGATCTAGAAGCGGAAAACAGGACAGGTGAAACAAATGTAAGGCACATCCACTGTGCTAGCTTCACCTGTGATGTAACCAAGCACACAGTCTTAGCCCCAGCATAGTCACACTCTTTTACCAAGGACCTGCAGCTGGCTTTTCTCTTTTAATGTCCTACCACCATGACAGAAATTGTCAAGTCTGCAGCCACTGATGGGCTTGCAGTTCTTGCCACAGTCAAATGCTGCAGCTGTGAAAGAAGCAAATAGCAGAAAGATATTTATTTAGTCTAGCATCCACAAAAGCATTTTAGAAGTTACTGTTGAACTAAAGAATGGGGCTGGCTTAGACAGAGGTTAAAATAGAAGTCTGACAGTCCTATTCCAAAGTTCAAAGACAAATATTTTGTTGCAAAAGATAGGTCTGCTCCCTCAGATCCATTAACTATTTCCACTTGTACCCTGTGTTCTATTGAAATATTTGCTTACATGCACACTTACAGTCAGTGAGCATAAGAATGATTAACTCTACTGTCTTGTAAAAACTTAGTAACGGTGTTTAGATAATAGCAAAGGAACTAGTGTCTTCCTGAATACAGTCTAAGGTCTATGCAGTACTATGTGAAAACATATGGGTAAATAAGGCCTTCTATTTGAGGCATGTACACTTAAGATCCCAGCACATCCACCTTTTTCCTCCTGTACCAATTAAGTAAAACATTTAAAATAGAATGCCATTGCTAGCCGTGACTGAAGTGATGGTACATGAGAATCAGCATTATGTGTGTAGGTATAGAGGCACTTCTTACATCCTTCAGCTGATCTGTCACTTAATGAGAATCTTTTCTCACTTGCAAATGGATTAGGCAGTATGCTCCTATTAATAAAACGATTAATTGACTGAGAGAATTGCAGCTTTCTTAGATCTTGATCTTATCCCTACCCATACTACTTTTCTGATATGAAATTGATGCCTTTTTTTACAACCTATACAGGATCAGTAGAGTTTGGGTTGCATGCCATGCAGTGTTTGGAAGCCATGCTGACTGCTGAGCATGAGGCACAGCAGGAGCCTCACAAGCTGGTATTATTTACAAACGTTCTGCATGGGGAAGATTGGCTCAACACCAGGAGAGGTATAAATATAATTTTAGGACACTGAAGACCATTACAAAACAACTACAGGCACATGACAAGATAAATCCTTGACCCAGGATAAATTCACTTGACATTGTCAAAGTTGTTCAAAACAGCTCTGGACATCTGAACTAAGACCTGGTGGTGCAGCATCGCATACCTATAATTGGGGCCTTGGTAGCAAGCTCACAGACTTACAGTCTTCTACCCTTTTTTGGCCTGCTCTTCTTCTGATCTCTCTAAGTCACAGTTTCTAGACACCACTGTCTTCATTTGTGAACACACAGAAGGCTATGTCCTTGCCATTTCATTTGTGTGCTTGACAGACTGGGATTGTTCACTGTTTGCTGTTGGTTATTTCTGATGTGGAGCAGCAATCACTGTCCTGTCTTGCCTGGCTTTCAAATGTTCCTCAACAGAGGTTTTTCTGGGACACTTGCCAGATACGACCTTCCTCATCTCCAGTCGTAACAAGCAACTACACTAAAGCACATTTACTGGCATCATTGGCACCAATGCCCTTATAAGCCCCAGGCCTGAGGCTGCTACACTCCAGAGACTGCTGCCTGCTGGTGAGGTGTCTTTCCAGCCTTTGTCATGGTCTCAGTTCCAGACCCATTTGTATGTCCTGTCTTTTAAGAGCAACAACTGTGCTGTGAACATGAAGAGCAGTGATGAGTATGGAGGGGATTCCGCTGGCTGTCACCAAATCTTGTTGTCGTCTTCCTTGGAAAGGCTTGCTTTGTGGGCTGCTCTTGGATGAGTCAAAGGTTACAGGCCCGTGTTAGCAGCTTTCCGCTGCCTCCTTTTACTGGACTCAGGTTTTTCCAGTATGGAGGGAAATTCTTCTCAGGTGCATAGGCAACTATTGGATAGCTTGCCAAAGGGTTGTCAGATAATAATGTTGTGCTTCTTATCCATGCCACTTTCAGCCTACTCCCATTCACAAACTTAATCTCTTGGGAGAGCAGGGGTAAGCTAGCTTTGGCTGTCAACACCCTGCATTGCAGCCAGATCTGCTCCAGTTAGCACAGCTGCGGATACAGCTCCTTAGCCTACAGCTACAGCTTCTCTCCTGTGCCCAGCTCCTGCTGCTTCTCTTCTGCCCTGGGTTGAACCTGTCCGGGGATATGGTTGCACGCCCTGGAAAGCAAGTGCGCACACAGACATTGGACCAAATATCTTATCTACAGAGAAGAGAGCAAGAAAAACACAGGCAGGGAGTGTTTCCATTCCAGGTAATCTTCAGTCAGGTATTGAATCTCTGATAACACATCAAGCTAACTTTATCAAACTTTATTGTAATGTACTGAATAAAATTTCCGGGGATAGGAAGCCTTGTGGCTGACCCCTGTCAGTAAGTCACAGCCCCTTTAGGAACTCAAAGGTAACATGTAGGGGAACCATCAGGAGAGCTGTTCTATTGAAGACAGCTTTGTCTGGCCTAAAGTTGATATGATCAGGAAATATCTATATACTGGAGTAGTGCCTTTCTCATCCCCACATACTCAGCTGGTGTGGCCTCTATTTGCATTTCAGAAACTAACATAACCTGGCCAGCGTTCACCAATGTCTGAGAACAGCCCGTCTTCTGGTAGATTGGCCACTGTGGCTGGCTAATGCTACTCCCAAGGTAGCAAAGCCTGCTTACGCCCTCACTGGGAACTTCTGCTGGGAAAGTTTGCTTGCCTAGTGGCAAATGCAGCCAAGAAACAGGGACAGAGCACTGGCACAAGGTGTTGGCAGAGGAGAGGTGCAAGTAACACCTGAACAGTAAACAAAATTTTTCAGCAGGGTATTGGATGACCTCAGACTTGAAAGGTGCAGTCTATGAGGAAGTCATCTAAAAAAGACCCTGCTCCATGGGAGACTTTCTGTGTTACAGTCTTAGAGAGAAGTGAAAGATACTACCCTTCTATGGTGTCTGCTGAGATAATGATCATATTACATGCCACTGTTAATTTGACAGAGGTGCTTAGCTGCGTGCCAGACCGTCTTTGTCCGGCCTTGTAAGCCGGTTCCTGCAAACATACCCTCCCTTGGCCATGGTGCCAGGGTGTGGACCAATGGTGACAAAGTTGCCATTGTTCTGATAAGTGTAATTATGCATGATAATTAAATTTCCCCTCTCAAGAGTAAATCAAGAGTAAACAGTTATTGCAGTAGGTGACTACTGTCAGCAGCATCCTTAGATACAGTGTCCCAAGGA